GGGGGGGGGGGACTTTTTTAATTCGCACACTCGCATCAGTTTTGGGGTTCCCATAGGATCCATATAATCAAACCAACATGGCTTAATGATGGAATGAGTTTCCGAGGTGAAATGCAGCATTTTACACACATGAAACTGAATGGCTTGTTCCCAATTTCGTTCCCTGTAGGGCCCCACGACTGTGGCTCCCTCTCAAACTATTCGGTCTAAAACCGTTTAGATCGGCACTGGAGGAGAAATTGCTACTGGCTAAGTACTTCTACCACAAGGTCAAAGGTATGTGACACTTTCAGTCTATAATACAATTCATATTTGCAATTGAGAAATTTTTAGATCTTTGAGAGTTTTATATTGCTCTGACCTGTTGTTTGACAAAAAATGAATCACCTCGAAGTTGATTTTAGCATGCATGGATACTACTTTTCGGAAATAATGGCTTGCAAGTGTTTTTGTCATAAATGCAACTACAACCCATGCAACAATTTTTTAAATACATATGTATTAAAATTTTGACTCAATAGCTACCATGACTTTGTAAAAATCATTTTTACAGAAATCCCTGGTATGACTACCCTAAAACCGCCGGACTTGTCAGTAGTTGTGTTCCACTACCACGACACATCGCTAGGGGGCAGTGCAGACGACTTCAACCGCCGGCTGCTGGACGCCATTTTAAAAGATGGTCGCATCTTCCTATCGTCCACTACTGTCGAGGGGGTGTTCTGCCTGCGGATCTGTGTTCTCACGTTTAGAACACATCTCCGGCATATTGATCTTTGTCTCAGCGTCATCAAGGAATGTATAGACAAATTAAAGTTGTAAAGACGTACGTAACGTGAACTGTTATCAACACTATGGAACAGGTTGTTTTCCAACACTTATTATAAATTCTTGAATGGTTAAGTTTGATGCACACTTGTAACCAAGATATTTCTGCAAAATATGATCTTGGGGCGATGCTCTTAATTGAAAGGGTAGTGTAAAGGATTCGTCAAATAAACATGAATTCAGGCTTACAGAGTTACCTCAGATTAAGACTATGAAAGTAGCTATCAGATAAATAACAATTACACAACACAATTGACATGTTTAGATTATATGTTGTTAACTGATCCAGTCTTATCTTCGTTGACTTTTTGAAAGCAAGCAATACCAACTCTATACTTTCATTAGCTTACTTTTAACAAGCCAAACTCCCATAGTACTTATAGGTATAAAACCTCATGTCAGGTAACTGTAAAGAATTTAGAGACGTAGTAGTGTTTAACACCGTCTTTAATCAGTCAAGGGAAACACTATAACAAGATTAGGTGATTTAAACCCGAAGCCGTCTGCTTACTACATATATGATATGGTCTATGAAAATTTGAGACGGCAGTTTTCGCTATAATTGTCACAAAATCATCGGCGCAGAAATCTTGACAGTGACGTATATCGGTATTAAAAAAACTAAAAGGAAGGCGTTATTAATATATGATCGGTGTTGAAGACGACATCATTACTATCGGGAGCGTTTTAGAAAGTGCGACTACAACTTACATATTTAAATCAAAATAAAGGACAATTCAGTGCAAGTCTTCTTAGATGTGTTAGATGTGTTTTTACATTCTGTGCTGTATAATTCAATTAAATTGCATGGTAAAACGTCAATAAAAAAGCCATTGTCAATTCCAGATGCCTCATTACTGGTAGCTCTTTTCTTCGGGAGACTTTTCTAAAGTATGTGAATACCAGAGATGCAAACCTAAACATGCAAGGTCATAACTAATTCATTTATCAATTTCATTTATATATTCCCAATAAATATTTTTATCGGAATCTTTAAACACAACATGGTATCTCCTAACAACAATTATGATAATACTGTTAAACATGGCTGCAGTAAACGAACATTACTTTTCATTCTGATGTCAACAACAAAAAAAGCTGTTTAACATTACTATAAAATTTGACTACTTTTGAGGCTGATGTTGCATATTGATAACAACAATTAACAGTTGAAATCAAACTATGTAATGCAAAATTAAACCATAATTGCGTTCACAAGTGGTCACTGCTCACATTCGAAAAACTGTCCATATGAAAAATTAAGCTTGAATATATTGATACTTCATTTTGAGTACAAAAATGTAGTATATTTCCAACAAAATACAATGTAATATTTTGTTATCTCTTATCAAAAAACGGAAAAACATTTGAAACATATCTTTTTCAGTTCCTCAAATAAAACTAACTATCAACCAATTTAATAGGAAATGCATGTGTTCAAATCTCAAAAGATCTTTAAATGGATTGCAATACTGTAGAAAATGCCTAATAGCCCCTGAGGCAACGCCAAAAATGAAATTTGAATTGCAGTTAGCTTTTTTTTTCATTTGATTCTTGGCAGGCTCAATGCCAAATCAATTAATTAATTAAACTCTGTGCTTCTGGAGACATATCGGAAGTATGGTCCTCAGCTGCTTTTCCTTCACAAGGGGATTTTCACCATTTAAGTATGTCCACATTGTCGGTTGTGAACATGAACTTGAGCCTAGAAGAACACTTCCACAATAGATCCGAAAGCCTAATAAAAGGGCAAGTTTTGATGCCCAATAGCTATACAGATAAAAACTTGAAAAAAGAGGTGTATTATCTACTAAAATTTACAATCGAACAACTAATTAATGTCATGAAGCAGTAATCTCCTCTCACTTTTATGATATGCTGATCTGTTAATTTATTATATAGGATAATATATCATTTACATCATAAATGATATCTACATGCATGTGATTTAATGATTGCACAGTTGCACAATGAAGCTTTCTATGGACTTAATCATTGGGTGGTTTTCGTCATGAGCAAATACCGCTTTTGCCATTGCCAATGCGTCTTGCAACAGACCAAGTGCTCTCCTGTACTTTCCGAGGTAGTAACAGTTTAAACCCAGGCTGTTGAGGGACTTGACAATGTCAGGATGTGGTGTATCCAAACCATAGATACTCTTGTACATCTGCAGTGCCTGTTCACTGTAGCTCATAGCTTTCCTGAAATCATGCACGCTATACCAGGCGGATCCTAGGTTGTAGAGTGAGTTGGCAATGTCGGGATGTGCTGTGCTTTGACTAAAAATACTCACTCGCATCTGCAATGCCTGTTCATGGTAGCTGATTGCTTTTCTGAAATCACGCAACTTTTCCCAGTTAACTCCCAAGTTATTTAGTGAGGAAGCAATGTGAGGATGTACAGGACTCTTCCTATAGATTATCTTATTCATTTGCAGTACCTGCTCATCATAGCTGATTGCCTTTCTGTAATCACCCAGATTTCTCAAGGCTTCCCCCAGGTTATTTAGTGAGGTGGCAATATGCGGATGTGCTGTAGTCTGCTTGTAGACACTCCTGTTCATCTGTAGTGCCTGCTCATGATAGCTGACGGCTTTTCTGTAATCACCCAGATGACCCCAGGCTAACCCCATGTTGCCGAGTAGTAGGGCAATGCGAGGGTGTGTTGTACCCTTACCGAGGATACTTCTTTCCATCTGCAATGCCTGCTCATAATAGCTGATTGATTTTATGTAGTCACCCAGGTGGAACCAGACTGACCCAAGGTTGGTGAGTGAAGCAGCAATCTCAGGATATGCTTTATCCTTGCCGTAGATACTAGTGTATATCTGCAGTGCCTGTTCTTGATAGGTGATTGCTTTTGTGTAATCACCAAGCTGACTCCAGGCGTACCCTAGGTTGTGGAGTGAGTTGGCAATGTCAGCATGTGCTGTACTTTGAGCATGGATACTCTTGCGCATTTCCAGGGCCTGCTCATGAAGACTGACTGCTTCTTTGTAATTACCCAGATCGCTCCAGGCTAGCCCCAAGTTGCCGAGTAAGGTAGCAACGTTAGGGTGTGCTGTGCCCTGGCCATAGATACCCCTCCACATCTGCAGTGCCTGTTCATAATAGCTGATTGATGTTCTGTAATCACCCAGATCACTCGAGGCTGACCCCAGGTTGTTAAATGAGAGGACAATATCAGGATGTGCTGTACCCTGGCCATAGATACTACTTTTCATCTGTAGTGCCTGTTCATAATAGCTGATTGATTCACTGTAATCGCTCAGGTCACTACGGGCTGACCCAATGTTGTCAAGAGTTAATGCAATGTTAATATGTGCTGTAGACGGACCGTAGATATCCCTATTCATCTGAAGTGCCTGTTCATAGAAGTAGGATGCTTTTCTGTAATCACCGACGTGGTGCCAGGCGAGCCCCAGATTGTTGAGTAAAGTGGCAATGTGAGGATGTGCTGTACTCTGACCATAGATAATCCTGTCCATTTGCAGTGCCTGTTCATGATAGTCGATTGCTTTTGTGTACTCACATAGGCTATTCCAGGCTGACCCCAGGTTGTTCAGGGAGTTGGCAATATCACGATGTGCCGTATTCTGGCCATAGATACCCCGGTACAACTGAAGAGCCTGTTCGTGGTAGCTGACACAATTTGTGTAATCGCCAGTCTCGTCATAAGCAGCTCCAATATCATTTAGCAGCCTCCCTTTCTCTGTGTCACTTCCATCTGCTTTCTTCAGGGCCTCGTGATAACAGCCGATGGCATGCTCATACTTGCATAACTCATCGTACATCTTTCCTCGTACTGTTTGGGAATTATCATATAGATCTGAGATGAACCAAAAGACTGGCTTCTTTTCAATCTGTTCCTGCAGAGCACGTTTCAGTGGAATTGCAGTATAATAGTACCTAAAAAGCTGTTTGTCGTTTGGCAGATAAAACACCTGTACTAATGAACTTGTTTCTAATTCATTATTGGTCCGTAGGGATAATTCCTGTAGGGATGAGCCCTGTCTATGCATTGCTGTTTCCATTGAAGTCAAAACTGACAAGTTTTCCTTCTGTCCCCCATTTGCCAAGTATGTTCTGAGTCTGAGTTCTGCTGAGATACTGGTAAGCACTGTCAGGTGGTGTGCATCATTTGGACTGATCACTTTTTGGTTTTTCATCTCCTCTATTGTTTCCCAAATTGTTTTAGGTATAATGCGTGAAAACAGTGCCAAACATTCCACTGCTAGAGCAGGGAAGCGATAGAGATCTTTCTTTACATCAATCAGCCTCGCTGTTATTGTTTCCTCATCGTTGATCCTTTTTATGTTTTCTTTCTGTATCTCTTGTGCAAGTTCTCGAGCCATTTTACCCCCATCAGCCTGCAGTATCTTTACTGTGTTGTCCATGTGTATGTCAACCAAATCCTGGTCTCCTGCTAGTAGGCACGGGTTCCTCAAGATAGAGGCAAGGTGATATCCTTCCTTCAGGAACAACGTTGCATCCTGTTGTAGTTTCAAAGCCATGTTTTCTGGGGTGCAGATGAGTTCACTGGGTGGTTTGTTCATATTTCTCGGCCTGCCAAGCGGAGTTTTGCTTGCCTTTGGCATAGATCCATCAAATGAAAACCCGCGTTGTGTAACAGTGTCATAGTACCAGTTGTCAAGTGGGCTCTTGGAGTAGAAATCATTAAGGGATTTTATACCCAATGCTGGGAGAATAGTTTCTCCAAGATTGACCACCTTGAGGTGTAGATAGTGGGTGAGAGTGCGGAAATAAACAATACTTTTTTCGCTTTCTTCTTCTACCAAGATGGCAAACTCCAAGTCTGAGTATGGAGTTACCAGTCCTTTGGACTGTGAACCCAAACCTATCAGGGCATACTTACAGGTAGGGGGGCCCATTAACCCAATACACTCGTCTAAAAGTAGGCCAATGAACTTTTTCCTTTGTTGTGCAATCTTTGCGAACAACTGCCTCACAGCTTGGGCTCGTTTCGCCTCTATCTCTGGAACACATGGGTCATCTTCGTCATGTACATATGGATCTAGCCTCTGGTCAATTGTTTCCATCTCCAGCTTGATCCGGTCTCCTTCAACTGTTTCTTATGTT